ATATAATAATATTAAAATTATAATAAAAATTTAATTATTTAATTTTATATTTATAATATATTTACTCTATATAAGGAATTTATCTATAAATATATAATAAGAATCTCTAAAACTTATAATTAAAAATAATAAAGATTAAGAATAAATCTATAAATATATATTTATTATATATAATTAATTAAATAAGTATTATTAGTATAAATAATATAGAGTTTTATAAGTTTACTAAGAAAGCTTAATAGATATTTTAAATATCTATAAAGTTCCTATCCTATAGTTTCTATACTCTAATTTAATCCTAGCTTTATACTCCTCTGTGAAAGCTAATTATAGGATGCTGAACCCCTATCAAACTCGAGAACATGCCGGCAGTGGCCCATTCTAAGGCAGAAATAAGCAGCCAAGAGCTGACAACTGGCATAAGCCATAACTCTATCGCTGAAGAAATCACCGACTAATGCACAATCCTGTAGATCGTGCCTATGTTGAGTTACCTAGCAAGGCAGAAACTAGATTTCATAGGCAACTACGTGAATTACCAGCCCCCTTTTTAATCTTCGACCAATAAGTGAGACAAGAGTTGCATCCTGTGGAGTGGCAAAGTGTATTAATGCTGACACCGTACAAGGCCGCCCTGGCCAAAGTGGACCTCTTTGCTGCCTGATGGTCCGCCCATTGTGCTTTATTATTTAGAATAGTTTCTTTCTTTTACTTCCATTCATTCAAACTCTCATGCCCCTCCCATCTTAGTCCTATCTTATGATTCTACAAGAGGACAACGTTCAAGATGACGATTATTGATTCCACCGACGGCCTGGTAGAGACCAGCGCTCGTGATTGCGATCAAGACAGCAGCAAGACAGACTTGGACGGGCTTCCTGGCCAGTCCCAATCACCTATAGGGCTCATTGAAATTTCCAGCACTGATGATGATGACTCACAATCTGACGATGCGCTGCCAACGCCACCAGAGTCCGACGATGCAGCATCACCCAACCTTGTTCCCTCACAACAAACAGATCTGAAATGGCCCACAGAAACAGAAGAACAGGGCAATCAGGAAGCAGAGCCGGCAAAGGAAAACCATGAGCCGGAGCTGAATGCCACTGATGAGGAAGAGAATAAGACTCAAAATGTTGAAGGCGGCGACAACAATGAAAATGAGAACAGAGACGGGAAAGAGGAGGAAAAGGAGAAGGCTGATGAAAATGAGGGCATTCGAGATAGCGACGGACATGAGGAGCAGGACAGCAATGAGGAGAAGCAAGAAAATGTGCAACCTGATAGCGTTGCAGAAGAGAGCAAGGAGAGCGAAGAGGAGAACAAAGAAAATGGAGGGGAGAGTAAAAAAAATGAAGAGGAGAGCAAGGACAACAACACCAACGAAGAGGTTTCAGAGGACACTGCGGCAAAGGAACTGGAATCTTGGGCTCGCATCCTCGTCAAGGATGAAGATCCCGAATGCATGGTGGACGATTCGCCATCTCGACTTGAATGGTTGCGCTTAAAACGAGAAGACAACGAGGAGAATGTTCATCTCGATAAAATCATGTCAATGGTCGGGCATGAAAAGATCAAAGCACATTTTCTTGCCATGAAGATGCGCATGGACATGGCCAAGCGCTGGAAAGTGGACGTCGAGGAGCCAAAAGCGGACTTGATTTTATATGGTAACGATGGGACCGGTTAGTAGGAGATCATCCCTTTACCATTACCAGACGAGACATTACTTACTGACATATGATTGCCAGGGAAAAGAAGGATTGCTCAGATTTACGCGGAGTTTCTCTATAGCATAGGCGCTATTGCGCATCGCACATTTGAAAGAAACTCGGGATACTCTTTAGAAGACAATGGAAGCAAGGCAACGGTATGGCTTCCTCCTTTATCTCCGTATCTGATACGATTACTAAAACCCTGTTTGTGCTTACCGGACTAATTCGATGGTTTTATTATTGTTTAGGTCACATTCTTCGACCAGGCAGACAAGATAGATCGAACAACCGAAGTTCCCGCCATCCTCGACATAGTGGAGAAGAGAAGTGATCCGGTCGTTTTGATCTTTTCTTTCACAAACTTATCAGAGGATTCCAGAAATGCACTTTACAGCACCTCCAGGTGCCGTAACCGTCTTCCCGATCCTATTGTTCTGGAGAACTACAACGAGAACGAGGTGTTTCAGCTTCTCAAACGAATGGCGAAGACAAGGCCCGATTTCGAACATGTGAAGGAGGAGGAAAGAGATGCAATCCTTCGCTTCTTGGCCCGGAGAATCCGACAAGGTAGCGAGGGCTCCATGTCGAAAAAGTTTGCCAACATCTATACTCTGAAGCAGGAACTTGACAAAATGACTGTCCGATGGAAACGACGAACGTTGCGGGAATTGGCAGAGTGGTCCAAGAACTACGCGTCCATCAAGGGGGGTGAAGTGGACGAAAAGAAGATTGAAGAGCAGAGGATGAAGCTGGACGGTGTCACACTGGACGATGCAATCGGGCCCAATCCGCCGGATGTGAGGAATGAGAGCAAGGCTTGGAAGACTATTCAAGGCATGGTTGGCTTGAAGTCTGTGAAGAAGGAGATTGAGCATCTCTTCAACTTAGCCCAGTTCAATCACAAACGTGAGCGCCAAGGGAAGCCTGGACTCCCCATTCCTCTCAACCGCTGTTTTCTGGGAGAACCTGGAGTTGGAAAGACAACGGTCGCAAGACTCTTCGCCAGCATTGTCAAAGAGTTGGGTCTAGTATCCAAAGGGCAGGTGGTTTTGAAGACCCCCAACGACCTAATCGGCGAGTATATCGGCGAGTCCGAGAAATACACCAGGGATGCACTAGAAAAGGCTCAGGGGAATGTTCTCATCATCGATGATGCACACATGCTGTACAGAAGCAGTGGGCATGGAACAAATAACTCAGATCAATACCGCGTTGGTATTATTGATACACTGGTGGCCAACATTACCCCTGGAGAGGACAGATGTGTCATTCTCTGCGGATATCCTCAACAAATGGAAGAGATGATTCTCAACAGCAATCCTGGACTGCAGAGACGCTTCCCCATGGAGAATGCACTTCGGTTCCACAACTACAACGACGATGAGCTCTGCCAGATCCTTGATCTAAAGCTGGCTCAGGATCAAGTGGTAGCCTCCGATCATGCGCTCAAGGTGGCCCGTCAAGTATTGAGCCGGAACAGAACGAGACCGCGCTTTGGTAACGGAGGCGACGTAGAAAACCTGGTTTGTCGAGCTAGGCTCCGACAAGTTGAACGGCTACGTGCATTGAACGAGAATTACATGTTCGAAATGCAGGAAGATCCACTGGGACCAGAAGACTTCGACCCTGATTATGACAGGTCTACGCATGCTGATAAGAACCGTGCTGATGTGTTCCGAGGCATGGTCGGATTTGAAGAGATTGTGAAGAAATTCCGAGGGTACCAAAAGATGGCAGATGGGATGCAGCTTTTTGGCGTTGATCCAAGGCCACACATCCCTTGGGCTTTTGTTTTCAAAGGACCCCCGGGAACTGGCAAAACGTACGTATATTGTTCTCCACTTCATATATGACTATCGACTCTTCCGCTTTCGTAGTCTTTGATGCTAACTTTCTTCTAGAACGACAGCTAGAAAGGTTGGCAAGCTCTTCTATGACATGGGCTTCCTATCCGCTGATGAAGTCATTGTCTGCTCGGTTTCCGACCTCATTGGAGAGTATTCAGGCCAGACTGGGCCTAAAGTGCTGGCTCAGTTTGAGCAAGGCCTCGGCAAGGTCCTGTTCATCGATGAAGCCTACCGTCTCCAGGGAGGCTGCAGCTCGTTCCACAACGAGGCAATCGGAGAGCTTGTCGACATAATGACAAAGCCACGTTATGTAGGAAACATGGTTGTCATCCTGGCCGGATACGGAGATGACATGGAGAAGCTTCTGGCGTCTAACCAGGGACTTCGGAGCCGATTCCCTACGCACATTGTTTTCCCACATATGACGCCTGGGCACTGCTTGCAACACCTCATACACACGCTTTCTAAACTCAACATCACATTTTGTGATGACAATCTTGAAGACAGTACGAGCGTTAAGGGAGACATCATCGCTGAAGCGTTCAGGCAACTGATACGTACCAAGGGATGGGCAAACGGCCGTGATGTGGAAACTATTGCCAAGAATATCATTGGATTTGTTTTCATGAAGGCAGCTGAAGAGAAGGCTTCCGGAAAACCAAGCCTGAAAGTTTCCTTTCCAGATCTGGTGCGGTTCTTGTTGGAGATGTTGAGAGAACGAAATAACATCAAGGGGGGCAGTCCTGACCCACCAGCACTGAAGGATTTAGCTCGGAGGGCTGGTTTGATCTATCATTGACTGTAAATAATGCCTGGGAATTTGTATATCTCTTAGCAACGCTACGGTCGTGCTTCTAGTCACACTGGGCTTTGATTCGAAAGACATCATTCAATATTTATTTTTCCTTGTTGACATATGCTGACTCTGGGGCGCTTTGCATATTATCGAACCAAAAGAGACAAACACAAAGGCCCATGTCTTATACCTGACATATTCCATCATATGAGAATCAATAACTCAGAACCGGGTAATTACCAAGTTCAATCTGGTTTCGTCTATGACCAAGCAACTGGCTTCATGTTGTTTTCACCGCGGACACCGGCAATATCTCGAAGCGGTCCACTTTGATCCAGTCGAGCGTTCTGACAAGTTCTTTGCCAGCTTGCTCCATTTGGCCATGTAGCTGTTCGCTTCCAACACTCTCCCCGTCCCGCCAATGAAAGCAACCCCGACTTCGGTTCCACACAAGCGTCATGTTACTTTGCGGGCTCGCAAGCTCCCACCTTCCCCCAAATCTTTGGACTTCGTCTCCGTCCCTAGAGCCCGGCTGGATCCCAACAATGACGTACAACGTCTCCATGAGAAACAAGTCCAACAACTCAGCCAGAGTCGCGCTGTCTTGATACAGCACCTCTTCGGGCACCGCTATACGAGTCAAGCTCGGCTCGGAGCGGCAAACGTGCCCGAACATACACGGGAGGGAGGAGGAAAGTTGGTTGATTTCATCGGATGGGATGTAGACCGTATCGCGGTCCATGTCGTACGGGCGTAAGAACGCATGGGTCTGTCGATCTTTACAGAACGCCATTAGCATTCCCTGCTCTCGAGCCCAGGCAGCGGCGATACGATTCGCCTCGCGATTGACGAAGAAGAGAGGGAGCTCGAGGTAGACGTCGGCGAGACTGCTCTGGTGGGAGATCAAGTTGCACCCATCGTTTTCTGAGCGGAACGGCCCTACCCTGTCGGAGCCAGTAAGGGGGATAGAGATGCTGCGACGTCTGGTGTATGAGTACAATGTTGGTGCGTTGTCAGGAAGCGCTTGCTGCCATATTACACAGCGAAGTTCTGGTGGAAGACGGGGGAAAAGAACGAAAGACGATGAATGTGGCATCATTATCACCAGGGTAGAATCATTTTAGCATGTTGAAATAATCTAAGAGAAAATCTTGACAACTTTCTCTTGTACGTTGTATTTTTAACGGACTTGAAACACCGCCATTTACTTTGGGACGACTTACGTGGAGGGCGTGGCTTGGCGATGGATGTTACTTGTAATTATGACGACGTATATTCATACAATGAAATGGCCACGGGGGCTGGGCTCCAACTTGGGCCTTCATAAGATACCTACCTAGAACCAGGCCTGGGAATATGCCGTGTTCTTCCACTAAGTGGTCTATTATTTTGTCGTCTAGGTGCTATATCATCTAGCCACCCAGAACCAAGACGAAAGGCCTGATGACCCTCGATCAAGCAAGACGCCTTCCTGGTTGCTAAAATAATATTGTGATGCTAGACCACCGGGAACTAAGAAATTACATGTCCGTCACACCGGTGACGATAGATGGTCTGTCATATCCTACCTTGGATTACTATTCGTGCCGGTATAATCATCAGGTTAGTCGGTCACTTCTACTGTCAGCGCCTTTCGACCTTTGGTTCCAGCCACGCGTCGTAGCAGACTTGATGTAACCTCAGCGCGGTCGCGACGTGGCGAAAGCATTGCATCACCTACATAACGAAGAGCGGATAGGTTGGTCCCCTACCCGATGGCTGTGCTTGTGTGCATCATACCACATTGTGGCTATGTATTTAAATACGCTGCTACTAATTATAAGAAGATACTACTTGGTTGGATATCATCGTCTGTGTTCTGACGTTAGTAACCATATAATGCGTGCAGGTCTTCGCCACGTAATACCTCTGCTTCGATGACGATGGCAGTGCATCACGCCCTGAAGCTGCCGCGAGTGTTATGCATAATGTCCCTACGATGTTTGGGCTGCACTGTGGAAAAGCCACCTAGCTGTTCAATCATCATATATGTAGCCGTACTGCCAATTATTGGAAGCCCCTTAAATAGCCCTATGTTAAACCCCGCTCTGAATTGTGCCAAATGCGCCACGCTGTTTTCACCACTTTGGTGGTAAGGAGGATTGGAAGAGGTCTACAGAGACACATTGGTTTCAGAGTCTGGAATGGTAAATGGTGTCGGCATATCAATTTGATCAGACTCCAGACCATGTTCGCTTCCTCTAAGACGAAGAGTGGCCATGTCTTGAAATTCCATAAAGCAATCAGCTGTCATCCGATTAGAGGATGATCCCCTATAAATCCAGGTACTCTCTTCCGTATTTATCCAAGAGGTTGCCTCCATACATGTAGAGTTTTTACATTGAAGTCCCCTTCTTATTAACTTTTTGTACTGTTGATGAGAAATTCCACAAAAAAAAACTCTTTTCATTTCAAGCGTAGCTAGTCTCTGCTCGTTTATACATCTACTGCTATGTAACAATAGTTGGATAAGCTACTATAAGGTAGTCAAACGTTGCAACAGAAAACATTCACCAAAACTCGCAAGAATCTCCTCATAGTGAACATTCGCCTTGCGCAGCTCAAGCAACACGTTATCAGCGAACCACCTTTTCACCACAGGTTCTCTGTCCAGACGTCAGTCGCTCACAGTGAGACATGCACGGACCCTGATTCGCCTCTAGTACTTTCTCTTCCCGTGATCCAGTGACAGTAGTATCAGCGGCAAGAGTGGGATCGTTAATATTTGTGGGGATGATCTATCACTTGAAGCGCCGTCTACACCTCTTGCAACAATACAATTCGATCGAGGGTTTGAAAGAATATAGGGCGATATATGCATGGGTATCTGAGTCCACTGTTAATCGTCCATGGTCTGGCTAGTCACAAATATACCAAAGCACAAGAATTAACGAAGAATATCATTGTGTCTATTTCTTCTGATTGATACGTTCACGGTGGGATGCCCTGACACTTGATACAACTTCAGACGAAAAAGGTACGCTTGAAATGAATCAACAAGTCAAAAGAAACAGCTGATTTCATTCTGTTTTTGTCAATCACAACAGTCGAACCAAACTCCATGTGATTAACCTAGTCTCAATACTCGTAACTAAGCTTGAACTCAGCTGGGCCGTACATTCCAATCTGCCTACCCAAAGGAGTCATGTCAAGCAGGTGCATTGTCGGAAGCACCTTTTCTCCTCCCCTCGCCCAAGTCGAATAGGAATGGTAGATATTGCCGTGTTCATCCTTGAAGAAAACACTGTATCCGGGCACGTCACCTTCATACCAGGTCTTTCCCATCTTTTCAGTCTCGTCCTTTGAGCGAAAGTTGATCTCCATCGGGCCAACGGACTCATCATTCGAGGCGTGGAAGTCATAGTTGAAGGTGGTACCTCCGCAAGAATACCAAGGCCACTTCCAACCATTCTTCTCCTTGAACGGAGCCAACTTCTCAATTGGGGCGCGCGAAACGCACACAAGGTTTGTATTCTTGAGCCGGAGGTGGTCGACGTTTGGCAGGCTCTCGCCGACGTGGCAGCAGCCTCTGCAGCCCTCCTCCTGGTCGGGGCCAAACATGAAGTGATAAACGATCAGCTGCGGGTGACCCTCGAAGAGATCGGCAAGAGTCACTCTCTCGCCGTCGAGAGATTCAAAAGTATAGTTTTTATCCACCTCCACCATCGGGAGCTCTCGGCGCATGGCGTTGAGGGCATCGTTGGCGCGAGTGTGCTCCTTTTCTTTCTCAAGAAGGGACTTTCGGGCTTCGAGCCACTCATCCCGACTGACCACGCGAGGCTTTAGTTGAGGAGTCATTATGGGCAGAGCAATAGTTGGTTGTTCAAGTTGCGCAGAACTTGTCTTTGGGCTATGGAAAACGAGGAACACAGGAAGAGGTCTTGTGGCGAGCGTTGTTTAAATAAACAGCAGCTCAACGTCATTCTATCGTCGTGAATCTCGTATCTTGGCTTGTGTGGAGCAGCCCAAGACTTCATTAGAGCATAAAGACATCATTTTTCCGGTGGCGCCCAATGAAGTGTGAGCCTAGAATGAAACGGCATGACCGAGTGAGATTGGGAGGAGGACGAAATGCGGAGAAAGTGTGCACTTCTCGCTAGCCGTGAACGCCACTGTATCGCTCGGGCGTTATACCGTCTCCAAATACGTCAGGGACATGTGTATGTATTCACTGGGACGAGCAGTGAGGGGAGTTGAGAATTGACCACTCATCGGACTAGCCTCTACACCCATTCCACGCTGGAGTGAAAGGCGGATATCACGCCGAATGAATCGAAGAACTATTTGGTAGTGCCGTGCTCATTCGCATTTACTGGAAACAAATGGCAGTCGATATTCCTTCTATATAATAGAGTCTTCCTTTCTAATCGATATCTATTCTCGTGGGCATCATAGCAACTTGGGAGTCCCGGCCACCCCCAACAGTCTGGAAACTCCGGTCTCCTTCCACTGCTGTACTTTCTCGTCACTTTGTGTCCAAATAGTCCCCAACATCCCTCCGGAGTTTGCACCTAGGGGATCTATCCCAGCAGCCCTTCTGGGAACGACAATCATTCGCTCCCGGTCCATGATCATGTTGTGCGGAGGCGCTCCATCCTCCAGGGTCGTTTTAGATCCTAGCGATCTCTCAACGGCTTCAAGACCAGCTTGGTAGGCTTTGAGATAAGCTTCTGGGTCTGGAGGGGTTGTGAACTTGGTCTGGTAGTATGCGAACGGGACGGCGTCATTGTCGATGTTGACCCAGGAGTTGCCATTGAAGGACTCGTTGGGTATGGCCTGGAGGTGTTTATGCACCCTACTACAGCCACCCTCGACTCTACAGTTATAGAATACCAAGTAGTCTTGCTCCATGTTCGAGAGGAACTGGGTCGCAGCTCGGAAGTCGTCGATGTCCAGAGGCTCCCATTGTCGCCGGTAACCATCATTCGTCAACATGAGGAGATGCGGGCGATACGACGAGAACATATTAAGAGTGAGCTCATGTGTCCCATTCAAATTTTGGACGCCCAAGCCGTTGACATTGATATCGCTTCCAGGTTTCGGTCCTGTTCCAGGCTCCGTGGCTACATCTAGAGTGGATGTCGTCTGCCATGGTTTGCTCGCAAGAGCCTTGGAGATGCGGAACTCAACCTAGAGACTTCAGCACTGCAACAAGGCCAGGGGTATAGTTATCAGTCAGAGGTCAACTCACCAGCATTTTCTCGCTCTGCGCAGTCTCCGTTCTGAACGCGTAGTCGTAAAACAGGCGGCCAGCTTTGGCCAGCTGGTCAAAGCGCGCCACAACCTCAGCCTCAGTCAGGTTTTCCGACTTCCCAGCATGCTCCAAGGTACCATTCGACGCCATCTTATCGGTGTGCAGCCGCCTATAGGACTGACTACGACTCGTTATCCGGTTCACGCGACCAGGGCTGGTTTGGAAAGGGGGAAGCCAAGCTTATTCGCTGGAACAGCCCCGTTCGACCTTCAGCTTAGCAATCATGCTGCTCCACCGCAATTTCAATGCACAGTAAACCATGGCTATAGCGATCTTCGATGTTACGATATCTCAGCTATAACGATACTATCAGCGAAATCCCAGTCACTGTGCGAATTGGGGAAGCCGGCTCGTTAGGCTCCCCAAGTATTTAGAACAGCTTCTGAATCACTAAGCTGTATAGCAATCTCTTGAACTAATAGTTTAATTTTTCCGATTTGGGCGGTCCAGTAGCTGTGTATTCAACCCCCAAAATGTACTGAGGACCTAAACAACAAACTTGCTACAACACGAAGGCGAAAGATTGCCGAGTCTACGCCCTACGTTAACGAACAATGTCTTAGGAAACTAGAAGGAAAGAATATACTCCGTGGATATGAGACAGAACTTCCCCAACACTCATAGTTGTCAGTTCACTAATTACTGCTGTCGCGGTTGGCCCGGACTTGACTTCTGAACACGGCAGAAAGGAGAGGATCAAACGAAGACTGAGTGAGCGGAACTTAAAATGAACAAGTAATATTCCCCGGGCGGAAAATTTTCCCACTCCTTGTAGTACCTGGGCTAAACGAGTCCTCCATAAGCATGTCTCCACGCAACGATAATACAACGTCAAGTATTAATAACGGCTCGTCCCTACGGATCCACAGAATCTGCTCGTCCCCAGTTTAAGTGAGCTGATGATCCGGAAGCAGTGTTGCACCAAACGTGCAGAATCTACCGCAGCATGGTCCTTGTGACTACTTCACCTCCTTAGTTAGGTAGCAGCCAACACGAGTAGATGGAATTCTCCGGGGGTACGCAGTACGTTCCACTCGCCACTCCGGCTCTTGAGAAAGTTGTGCACTGCGGAGATCGAGCTGACATGGTTAAGGTGGCGAATCTGGATCTTCTTGCGAGAGCGTGGATTTACACGATCGCGCCCTTGTCAAAGGGGATATCTCTTGCAGGGGAAGACGGACCAGCATTTCATCTCATTGTGTTGAAATTTGTGCTATTAATATTCGTAGTATGTAGTAGCGATGAATGTGCAGTATGTCCAGGCACTATTTTACAGAAGGTGAGCTTTCTTATGTCCAACTTAGAGATATGATGCGAAAAGTTCCCGGTACTCCGCACGAGTCTTGCTGTTTCCAACCCAGACGTCCTTTGCTCTGTCGACAGCCTCAATATGGGTTCCAACAAAGGTGGCGACCATTCCTCCGCCGTAAGCCTCCTTATCAATGAAGTTGTGCTCGTCCGGCTCAACAACCTCGAGATAGTATGGGTGGGACAGCATCGCAGTCAAAATGTCAGGGGATTCATAGAGAAACATGGCTATGCCATCGAATTCAACGAGCTCGTTGGAGGCGAGTGTCTCGCTGCCGGGCTTGGTGGGAAGGATCTGGCCTCCAACCTGGACCTGTTACAATGAGAGAGTGAGCTGTGGAGAACTCGAAAAAGCAACATGTGGAATAAGCAATAGCAGCAAGAGGAAACCTTAACCACTGCATAATGTCCACGCATGCAGCTTTGGGTGCCAGGGACATACCTGTTGATAGCGAGTAATGTTGAAATAAGTGGCTAACGGCACAACTTTTGGAGCATGCTGCGTCTGCCAATAGGCCCAGAAATTCTCGCGGGTCCAGTCGGGGTGACGCTTCACGTAGGTCACCATCTGGGTGAGGCCGGTGTTGCCCTTGCAAGAAGCAAAGGTAACCCTAACCAGCATGACAAACACCAGGAGTTTGTTCAATGAAAACATTGCGCGCTTATGTTTTATGAATTTGGGAAAACTCGCGAGGATAGAAAAAGGAGACTCAGGAAGGCAAGAGTCGACCAGAGCGGGCTTATGAGTGATACTGCGGTGGGGAGCAGCCAACCTCAACACCTCCATCAGTTCATGATGCTCCGCATCTCTGCCTTAGTGCCATGGCACCTTCCCAATGGTCAGTGGGTCATTCGCTGTAAGACTCCTTTTGTAATGGATGGCTAAATGTCCAGTCTTAGGAGGAAGGCTTATATGTCCGTACTGCTGAACGCAGGCATGTGCGGCCAAGATGCCCCTTTTCATGGTTCCCGAGAGCTTTTCTTTTGTCGAAATGGATTGTTTCCAGGCAGGTACCGCGTTTAATTTATTAATTCCATCTGTTCTAAGTGATAGCTGCGGCGACCAACCCTGATGCATGGTACGCCATGGGAGATCACAATACGGAGATTTTCAAAGCGTTGGAATCTGTACATCTACATCTCTGGATGTAACACAGACTGTGATGAAGGCCGAGGATACATTCATGATTTCCCGCATCGTCCCGCAATGTCATGTATTCCTTTTGAACCTTGCATGATGCCTGCATAAGAAGACATGGCACCCCACCACACAAGCACGCCTCCTGGGTAAGCAGCAAAACTAATCGTGCCATGGCCAAGCTGCATAAAGATGGGTAAAAGAAAATCTCAGGGCTGTGTCATCTTTGTACACGAGGGGAATGAATTGTCAACGGGGTGGGAGCGGTACGCGCCGTGTTTTCTTTTCTTTTCCCAGACTTATCATTGGACGGCCCGATGTTCTCTAGGTAGCATTCATGCATGTCATCTGCAAAGCTTTCAGGGGAATCCCGGAGTGCCAGAATGGCCGCAAGCCCAACTGTCCTAGAGGTGGGCCGAAAAAGCAAAGACTTCTGTCATAACATCGCCTGACCAGCCAGCAGTGCTGAGACATTTTCGTCCTGTCGATTGGTCCGGAGAGATGCGGGTTCGAAGGTCGTCAATGCAAAGGTCTCCTTGCCCGGCTGTTGGCCGGTTCAGGATCCCTGCAGCCTGCTCTGCTTGCATCAAGTTGAACAAACCTGCCACTTTTCTCGACCGCAGGGAGAAGACAGCTGTCCGTGTCGGTGGCTTGGACTCTGTGGCTTTCTATGGCCCCTAGAAAAAGAAAAAAAAATCTCGGGGTGCGAAATGATAAAACAAGCCTGGCAGACTTATGCCGGGAGACCACATACATAGCGAGCTCATGCCATTTACCATTTCGTAACTGCTCTTGTTGATCAATTCCACTCCTCGCGTTGGGTTTGCAGGGCGATCCCAAGAGGAGAACTTTGCATAATATGGGCGAGACAAACAATAGCTTTTGATGGCTCCCGCCTGAAACGATTGCATGTCCAGACTCTCGTCACACTTTCGATTTCTGCGTCACTGCTTTTTTCTTTCCGAATCTGAGTATCAGGGAGGCGGGTCGAGTAGAGGAGTCCTCCTGGTATGGCTTCCTTTCCCATCACGAATGGCGTCACGACATATCTCCCAGCGCCCAAGGGAGTCGAGGTAGATTTCGAAAACCCCCGAAGCCGTCATGCGCTCGACCACTATCTCATTTTCGCCCTCCTGGGATCATTAGCCTTAGTCTGCTTGGTCCAGAGGTTCTACACGAAGCACTACATTGTCGGAGGATTGAAGATAGATGATTGTGGGTTGCTATCAGAAGGACAACGATTATGAATGTGTTGGCTAACGATTGACTACTCAAGATCTGATTAGTCTTGCCTGGATGGCATCCATTGCGATGCAGTCGACGCAAATCTGTGAGTGATAAGCTTCTTTCTTTCAAATTCCCCCTTCACTAACTGAACGCACTTGGCAGGGTCTGTGTCAATTGGAGGGCTGTGCCATCATGCTTGGGAAATGCCGATCAGTGTATACACTAATCACATGCTTGTATGCGGCCTCTTGATACCTGCCCACTCGATAAATTCTACCCTGCTTACATTGTGGAATCTAATAGAGTTCGTATATCGCGGCACCAGTCTTCATCGCCTGTAACGGCTTGAGCAAGTCTTCACTTTTGACATTCTATCTCCGGATCTCCACTCAGAAATGGTTCAAAATCAGTATCTGGGCTGCCATCGCCATGGTGTGTGGATACACTTGTATCATCGCCGGTCTTCTTCTGTTCGGCTGTCGCCCTATTCGATCAGCCTGGGATCCCTACGTACCTGGGAAATGTGTAAACTTGCCATCGCTCTACATCGCCATCGCGAGTGCCAATATCGTTTCCGACGTTATTCTTTTCATTATCCCGATCCCAACTATCCTGGCCCTGAAAATGCCGTTGAGGCAGAAGTTGGGCGCAGCCGTCATGTTTGGCATTGGGTCCATGTAGGTGTATCAACATCTATTAACAAGACAGAGGGACAACTACTGACTCTGATTAGCACTGTTGCAACATCGATCGTGAGAATGGCCTACCTTCCATCACTTCTATCAGCAGACGATATCCCATGGGTGGCTGGCACGGCCAACGTCTGGTCGTAAGTCCTCCTCGCCTCTCACTACCACAAATCTGAATTGCTTCTTACACGCTTTATAGATTCGTTGAGGTCAATCTTTTCATAATTTGTGGTTCCATGCCTACGTTTCGCAGGTTCCTCCATCGTTTCGCGCCAAGAGTACTCGGATCGTGGGATTCACAGCCATCGAGGTCCAAGACTCGTGAAACGTCTGCGAGTAGATCCCGACGCCACAATCATACCGGGTACTCGCAGTTTGACGATGTTGAGATGAACAGTATATCTGAACAAGAAAAAAAGTGTCCCCAAGTCAATGTCTCAATAGGTGAGCCGGCGGCGACGTCGGTGGATTGCGAGGCTGCACCGCGCAACAGCCATGATGGCTCTAGTTCAGAGGGAATCTCCTACACCCGGACCTTCGAGGTCCAGTACAGTAATAAATAAGCGTACGAATAGACCTATAGATGAAATATTGAATAAATTTATGAGGGATAAGAATTAAATAATCTAATTTGTTCCTAGTCTAACTTCATCTACATTATGAAATCCTTCCACCTCCCCAACCGCCAAACACTATGATAGTCTCGCTTATTCACCGGTGTTTGGGTTGAAATGAGAGTGTTCCCATTCTGAGGTATAACCGTGACTTTGCAAACCCTAGATTAAGAGAGTGTTCAATGCTGTTATGAAATTTTTAATCCCAAGTCTTGGAGAAAGATATCTCATTCTAGGAGCTCCGTTCCTCTCCATGGAAGCAGTTCAAAATAAGGTGGGAGCTACGAAAACAAACTGGAAGATGAGAAGTCTAGGATGTGACGTGGATTAAGTTCCCACAATGTGACTTGTCCGTGACATAGATTATGTATTTTCTGTATTGTATGGTTATATATTCCAAATCAGTTGAAAATTTCAAACCCAACAAGATCTGGCGCCCAAGCCTCTTGGCCATTCGAAGCAAACGCGACAGTATTGTCCTTGCCCTTCTTAAACCCATCCAGCTCAATGGTGAGGCGACCAGATTCGTACCAGTCATTCCCGCCAAGCGGAAAGGCCCAACGTTTGGCTTGTTCGTCGTTGACAGTAATAGTCATGTTGCGTGTGTTTGTTCCCTGTCCCCAGGCCTCTTTATGGTGGTACTCATAGTTGATAAAGTCCACAGCCACCGTTAAGGATCCATCAGCAGGTGACTCAACTTCCTTAAACGAAACCTTGGCGCCTGGACCAATCCACCCGACCTTGCTTGTAACAGGAAGGCATTCTCCCTCAGCGCAATCAATAAGGGCAGCTGACCCTTCAAGGGTGGCGTCCACGACAGAGAAGTACCCGCTGGACTGTGGGAGATCTACCTTTTCGATGTCACTCAACACCAACTGGCGCAACTCATGCGGGTTGAGCTCAAATGACTGCACGCCACCAATTTCAACGTCCTCACTTGCCCAGACATCATGTGCCTGGGCTTTTCCAACGCCGATGAGGCCGAGATCAACTTGTACAGTCTGGGTCTCGTTTCTCCAGTTGGCCACTCCCAGAACCTTGCGCCCAGATGAAAGGTCGCCAGCCCAAACATCCCACTCTTCTTCAGTATGTCGTAGCACGAGCTCAGCGGCCTTTCCTAGCGGGTCCTGGTTGATGGCTATGACCTCTTTGTTGGACATGATCTCGAGTGATTCGTGAGGAATTTGAGAGCGATCCATGACACCTCCGATGAAAAGAGGGGACTTCAACATCGACCAGAGGCCAAAGTGAAATCTCTCTTCATCATAAGAGAGGGCACTTAGTCCAACGCTATATGTCCTGTCAGATGGTCTCCGCGTTCGCAAATAAGTTTCACACTCACATGAGCATATCAAGATCTGCGAACGCTCCTGGAACCGTGTACCTAGCGTGAGGCACGGCCTGGTTCACGATTCTCCAAATGCTACGCCAGGCATTGAAGATGTCGTTGCTCATCCTCCAAGTGTTACCTATAGGGGCCGACCTAATCCACTTCAGAATACATTATTTTGCTTGGGTCGGCTAGAAATAGAACAACTTACCACTGGGGCACGTCTTCTCCTATTCCCCACTGACAGAGAAAGTACTTGATGTCGCGGTCCGTGTCGTCGAGAGCCGCTGCCATCTTGACGAATCGTGCTGGGCTTTTTGATTCATCGGAGTCGACGTCCACCATGACATCTCGAGAAGTGGAATAGCAATTGTCATATCTGGGAGCACGTTAAAATCCAGGATCTTCGTGTATATTTTGACGCACCTTACTTCAGCGAGTCACCTCCCCAGTCAGCAAAGGACTGAGCATCAATCTCTTCATAACCTAGTAGGTGTCAGACAATGATGATCAGATGGGTCAGTAAGGGAATATACCCAAGGACGCTGGAAGGTCTGTTGAACCACACTGGAGATATCCAGCGCCAGAATATAGTCCAAATTCCAGTCCAAGATCATGGATAAACTCTCCAAGCGCGTGCGGTCCAGAGGGGAATAG